ATTGTTTGTTATTTGTCTATGCAAAGACTTTAAATAGGATTGCCAGTGTACAAATTTATTACATGTTTAAAAGTAAACTTGTTATTGTTATATCTCGATGAGAATAATGAATGATAACTGTTGGAATCTCTCTCTGGATTAATACTATCTGTATATTTTCATCGTATAGTTGTTAAGTAACTAAACTATTCATATTCGTGTTCCTCTTATTATAAGCTTTATTTTGACCCATAGATTATTATTATACGATTTACCATTCTTGTGTTAGGCCTAATCTATCAACTACTATCTCTCACATTCACAGCCACTTTTGGTTAAATCTTGTACAAATGTTATTTTCTATTTTATGGTACGATATAGTTTGTTTGGTTTGTATATAAACCCAGTACATCTGAAATAAATGATTCGTAAAGTGGAGTCTGTTATTTGCATTCTGGACTCAGTTGGACGGGCTAGGCGAGTAAAGGACCAAGAGGACGCTGGGCTTATCAGACCGGATGAACGTCATTGGTTTGGTACAGTATAAGTCGTATTTTGATTGGCAAATAGATTACGTGATAACTAACGGGCCATAAAGTCACAAAACTTTTTGTCGACTTTTTGAGGTTTGTTCATTTCTTACATCTAGTCATAATTTATTTATTTATTTATTTGGACACATGAATATTGGTACAAGAGAGCGCCAATATATATGCGCCACACAAAACAATGAAAATTCGAGAGGAATACAAAGAAAGAAAAAAAAGCTAAGGAGCGCAACAAAAAAAGAGAGAACAATAACGAAGAGATTGGCGTAAGGTAATGTGCTAGTAATCAGGGAACACAAAGGTACAATCGGAAGAAATCTTTCAGGTAAGGGAGACAGAACCACTTTTTATGAAGAAAGTAAAAGAAGGTTACAGCAGGATCGCCACTGACTTCTATTCTGAGCCATATCTGATAACGTCTCTAGCCACTGTGTAGCACCATCTCTCAGACCCCAACCAGGGAGTCGTGAAGGACCGACAGAAGCCAGTCCTGTACTTCTTTCTTTCATGCCACGACACCATGTCATGCACTGACCACCTCTCCGCTTCTTCCAACCAGTCCCAGAGTCGGCAAATAATGCACGACGTGGAATTCTCTGGGACGACATTCGGGGAACATGTCCAAGCCACCGAAGTCAGTGTTTCAAGATGGTGACACCAATTGCATTATCGTCTCTGTGACCGAACACACGATGCCGGACCTCTGCATTACTGACATGGTGTTGCCACTGAATGTCAGCAATCCTTCGGAGACAGCGATGATCGAACACAGAAAGTCGTCTAACGTCCTCAACTCGGAGAGGCCAGGTTTCACAAGCATAGAGCAAAACTGCTCTCACCGACGCGTTGTAGATCCGACCTTTTACTACCAGACTAACATCACGAAGGCGCCAAACGTGGCCCAGATTGGCATAAACCGCTCTGGTTTTCACTATTCGTGCATTGATCTCATCACTCACACCCCCACCAGCACTTATGCAGCTACCCAGATACACGAAATTCTCGACTACGTCTATCTGCTCACCATCCAGGGTGAGTACAGGATTGGAATCCTGCCAGTCTTGTAGGAGTACTTTGCACTTCGAAGGTGCAAAGCACATACCATACCTACGGACATTGATTGCCAACTGATTAAGTGCGGATTGCATGCCTTGGGCATTATTGCACAGAACGAAACCCAGCCTGCTCCTCGCGAGTCAACCTAAAGGTCTAACCCACAAGGCAGTGGAGCATCGTAAGGAGATGCAATTCCATGGTAGCCGGTGACCAAAGATTGGTTCATACGCCATTTGTTCCTTCAGGATACTGGAGCCCATGTGCACCATTGGTTTGTGATCCGGTTAAAGCGCCGAACATTCGCTTTTCGTCCTCTCATTTTCGTAAACAACACCACCGCCACGAGAAGGCAATGAGTAGGACTTCCCTGTCAGAGGCTGTATACGTGCGGCCGTGTGAGAGTATTTTGAGAGGGAGAGCGGACTCACCCCACTCTCGGCCGTACCAGGTCATAAACTATTTAAATTCTCGACTAGACAACTTGATATCACCGATTTCGAAGGAAAGATTTAATCTGCAAATTATTTCTGTACTGTGATTCTGTTTAGAAATAAAAATAAAAACACCCCAGTTAGTTACTTTGAGTAGTTGAATCTAAACCAGATCATTTTAACCAATCAATAATCGTAATAAACTCTTTGGGTTCGAGTCCCAGGGTGAACATCAACTCTGAGATGCAGGTACATCCAGCTGACGAGTCCCAAATATGACGAAACGCGCGTCCTGGATTCCACTGCTAGCCACTATCCATCACTGCTTACAAAAAGCTTGTGAATTAAGGCAATATCGAGGCATACGCATAGTATGCATATATACCAATAACAGACTGATCAATTGCAGTCTTAAACCTCAGTGGGAAGATACAAGCCAAACAATACCAAGTGAATCTTTCCCCTATAGTTTAAAACACAATATCCATTATTAATTTCCCATTTCATTTTATCGAATTATATGTTTAAATGTAAATTATTATTATTATTTTCATTGAACCTTTAAGATAATTAAAAACTAGCTTTGACGTTAATACTATCTTTAATTATATTCACTTTTAAAAGCTTACATTTAATTGAATGTTAAGTTCTATATTTCCCTTCATATAAACAATGAAATGTTTTCCGTTTTCTTTTATCTTTGAATAATGATCTTGAAAAGGTTATGTTAAACTAATTCTTTTATTACTTGATGAATTAAAGTACAATAATAAGTGTAAAGTTTAAGATTCATTATGAAGGATAATTTTGTATTTAACTGTTCATTGACTATACAGGATATCGTAAAAGGATTAGGTAATCCTATGAACATACACATGGGATATGGATGAAAACAATCATTTGAGTCAGTTACCAAGTAGTGACTATTGTTTAATTCTTGATGATAACAGAATCCTATGGATCAACTTTTAATAAGGTGACTAGACAAGCATTCATAAATTATATGAATCATCCTTTACTTGGTGGGAATGGTCAGTATTTGTAGTGGCATTGGTTCTTAACCAAACGATCTTTGAAGCCGAGTGTATAATTACTGAAAAGATGTATATCCAACATTTAACACTGAGAGGTCAGCAATAGTGAACGCAGAAACAATCAATCGGTGGCATGGCTCAGCTTTGTAGACGTGCTCATTTTGTATAACTTGTCTTTATTCAAATGATATATATTATTCTATCTCCAGCTCAAATGTGTTCTTCAGAAATATTAGACGTTATATTGTTAATTCTTACGATATGACTAGTCAGAATAGACAATGATGTGAATTTCACGTAAGATCTCATAGATTAGATAGTCCCATCATGATAAATCTACAATTTTAGGATTAGGTCTATTATTCAGTTAGTATTAATACCGAACTAGATCATAATTCTACATATGTACCAAGCTTGATATCATTCACTTTTTAGATTTATATCTTTTTAAAGTCCTTTAATATCTTCGTTACTTTCCACCACTCCCTATTTTTTGATATCATCTACAAATAAAGATTATAGTGACACGAGGTCAGTAAGAAAATTGTCTATTCATGGGTAGAATAATCCTGTCTCCAATACTACACCCTAGGAAATTTTAAATGTTTCCTATTATCACTTCCGTTCACTTTTTTCAGCGAAATGAATAAGCTTAGACATATTCTAGTCCTTGCATAACCTACAACTTCAGGTATTTATTTCTTGAACTTCCTCTTTATTGAGCTTATTTAATGATTTTATAAGTTAAAGGTGGTTAAACTACAGTCAGACCAAATTCGATCCTTTATATCATTTATAAATGTGTTAAGCCAACCAAAAGATAATTTAAATGTACTTAAAACAAACATGAATATTATGTTAGGATCTTAGGAAATAGAACTCAAAATCAAGTTTAATTCAATGTCCAGAAAATTTGATGAACTGAACTAAATTGGCCTAACTGGGATCTACTCAGAAATATAGTCGGCCGATTTCACCACTCAATAATGGATTTTCACAACACTTCAAAGCATTTAAACTGTTTGGACTACAACTAAGTTGTTTAGCTGCTCAATTTTATTTAAACATTGAGGTAACTAATAGTTACCACTACACCTGAAAGCTAACGACAGCCTGAATTAACACTGAAACTATGAAATTTTTATTGATTTTCTTCCTTCATTAACAGTGCTCGAATCTTAATTAAGGAGATTTTTCATCTAAAATGTTCACCTTTTTTAAAAAATCAGCTTATATTTACGATCAATCTATGAGACTCAGTACACTCAAATGCAGATTTCAACCCACAGATGTAAATTTCGAGTCAGCATTATGCAATACGACATATAGCGAATGAAAAACTGTACATAGTTCTATTTATCAATTTCATGGATTGGTTGAAGTTAGACATTAACACTGTTGGATGCCGACTCAGTGTCTAGAGGTTAAGTGTTCGCGCGCGAGACTGATAGGTCCTGGGTTCGAATCTCGCGAGGCGGGATCATGGATGAGCACTGCTAAGGAGTCCCACAATAGAACGAAACGGCCGTCCAGTGCTTTCAGGTTTTCCATGATGGTCTAGCTTCAACTGACTCATGATCTCAACTATTGAAATTACTATAATATCCCCAAAAAACCCTTTCTGATAATGGATAATATACCATTTTCGACAATATTGATTACGTATATATATTAGTTACATTAATCAATGATGGGTTTTAGTAACTTGATTAGAAAAAAACATTTTGGCATTTTATATCAACATCCAACCTGATAATAAATGAGTTCATGCAATCCTCTAATAAAAGTATTTGCCAACTTATATTAGAAAAGTAAACAACGTTTATTGATGATAATATTGACTTTTCTCTCATTTATTTTTATTTATTTTGATCCTTTTACTATTCATTGTTACTTTCCTTTTCAATTAATCCTTCGAAAGTATAGAAAAACAAAAAAAAAAGCAAAAACTATATGGTTGCAAATTGATAAAGAATAACTTTTACCAAAACAAAATGAATTCATTCTGTTCTGCTCCAGTTGTTTTCTTTCTTTATTCAATCCCCTTTTTCTATATAGAAGAAACAAGTTTTATTAACAAACAAACAAAAAAAATAGATGATAATAGTAAAGGACAATGCTTAAATACAATCGGTATATAACTATGCCTAAATACTGTTCTTCATATATAGTTTTGGGAATATGAAATGATGTAGAATATTTGTTGTATAGATGAATACTATTAAATAAAGATAATATAACCAACAAAGATAATCAATCAAAAACAAGGTCATCAGAATGGATTGATTGAATGCTTGTGGAATAATTAATTTCTGCATTAAGTAGTCGGTTATACTGTTATTGAAAATGAAAATGTTAACTTCTCAATTAAACCAGTAGGTCCTGGGTTCGAATCCCGTGGGGTGCGGGATCGTGGATGCGCACTGCTGAGGAGTCCCACAATAGGATGAAACGGCCATCCAGTGTTTCCAGGTTTTCTATGGTGGTCTAGCTTCAATTGACTCATAATCTCAATCATTGAACTTACTATAATATCCACAAAACCCCTTCTGATATATTGGAATTACTTCCAAAATAGTAGGTTAAAATAAAATCTTTTTTTTTAAAAATCCATCTTGTTTTTATTTAGAATTAAAACATTTACGTGCTATCCATTACCTTGTCAATTCATAAGCATTTGTACTCTTATTTTGTTAATATTCAACAATGAATCGGTATTACAAAATGACGTTGTTGTATTCATATTAAAATAATAAGAAAAACATTTTAGTCATCTCACGACATTCACGTGATAATTCGTTATTAATTTACTAAGTCTATTGTTATTATTCGTATTATGTAATTTAGTATGATCAACTTTCTATTACATCATCTTGGTTATTCGTGTTCACATTTTCTCACGGAACTAGCACTCTAACAGCTTGATAATAAATTCGTTGAAAAGAGATCCCTTGGCTGAACTTCGTATTTTTAAATTTCTGACGTTTTGCAGCTTAGTGTTATTATCATCAATTATTACCATTATTATTATCAACAACCTATTTGCTTTTAATATAAGTAAAAATGCCTTCGTCTATTGCATTATATAATAATCTGTCTAATGAAATAAACATAAACACTACAAAACAAAACAGTTCTATAACATACGCAAATACAACAAGAACAACAACAAAAAACATAGACAAGTTACAAAATGGAACAGTTTTACGACGTAAATAAGAGTCATACAATAGTTAGAAAGAAACAATCGTTTTTCTAATCTTTTTAACATTGAAATCAAAACAGTCTAGTTTGCTTTATTTTGTTTGTTTGTTTTTAATATAAATTAGCCATAATTTAACAGATAATGTTTTTCCAAATAAAAAGTTATCCAACAAGGAAAAACGACTAGTTTACAACTTTTTGTCTGATTTTTAGGGATGAAACAACGGACATGATTAAAGGAGATAAAGATGGTAATTGCTGTTATGGTCGTGTTTCCATACTGATTAGATGGATATTATCGAGAAGATTGACGAAATCAATAGTTCTCATTTTGAGAGCATGACCTTCGTGGTTGAAAACTTATCCTTTCAATGTAGACGATTGTCGCACCCATTGTATTCCGAGTAATAGGAACAAAAAAAGAGGATAATTTGGCTATACAAACCAGAATATTTTATTAACCAAACTATCACTGTCCTTATATGAGTAAGATTCTGTTTTTTGCAACATAGATCATTACTTTTGTGTAAAACAGCGTACGAGAACAAGTAGTCTTAAAGTATTGGTCTCTCCCTCTCTATTATCTTTATTTCTCTCTAAAGCAAATATCATTGTGAATGATGAATTGAATATTGTGGTAAATTACTACAAACTACAAGTTTTTGATTATTTCGTTATATCCTTTACAATGAAATATGAAAGGCAAAATAACTATTTTTAATGGCTTTGAAGTCAGATAAAGTATGTGAAAAGGGTATTTGTTAAGAAGTTAAAATAAATAAAAACGTAAATTGACTTAAAAACATAAACTGTGTTTCGTTCAACTATTCCATCTTCTGCTCCCATATTCACTTTGTTAACGTTTAGGATAGATATAGTATGTGTTATGCTGTTCATATTATGTTTTCAATAGCGTAAATATTAAACCTAGTAATTCCGTTACTGTATATTTCCACACAAATTATAGGACAAGCTAGTTTTCACCTTTATAAACCTTGTTCGGTGGAATCTTTTGACAAGATTTGACTTCAAAGTGAAAACGTAGAGAATTAACTCTTATTGTTTAAAGAAAATTGAATGCCGCCGAATTATGCATCGTCAGATAGTACAACATGAAAAACCATTTACGTGTATTTATGAAGAAATGTATCTGACCTAAACCGAAGAACACGAGATAGAATAGACATCGTAACTTTCTAATCAGGAAGTTTGTACATGTTCAACTAACAAACATACAAACAAGTATACGTCCTTCCACAGTTCAATTAAATATTCGGTGGTATACGAAGCTAAACTATCACTATACAGATAAGCCATAAACGGGTTACATAGGTTAATAGTAACATAAATACTATCAGGAAGTTTACTGTATACATTTTGTAGTACTGTACGTCAGACATAGAAGTAACTGCAAACATGCTCCACACTCTTTTCCGGAAGATTTGGAAGGAAGAACAAGTGCCGCCGACAGACCGGAAAGAAGAATATCTCATCAAGACACCAAACAAAGGACATCTAAGCAAATTTAGGAACTACAGATGTATCATACTACTAAAGGCATCAGGGAAAGTTTCCAACAGTGTTGCTAAGCAGGATGAAAGATTAAGTAGACGACCAGCGTTGAGATCAGCAAGCTGGATTCCATAAGGATCGGTCATGCATAGACCAAATCGCGACAAGACGGATCATCGTTGAACAATTAATTGAATGGAACTCGTCACTATACATCAACCTTCTTCACTATGAGGAAGCGTTTGACAGCATGGACATGAGAACCTAATGGAATCCTCTTCGACACTATGGAGTGAGTATTTGAGATCGTCATCATCATACGGAATTCATACGACGGACTACATTGCAAAGTCGTGAGTGAAGGACATCTGACAGATGAATTCCAATTGAGGACGGGAGTCAGATAAGACTGCTTACTCTCCCCCTCTCTCTTTCTTCTGGTGGTTGACTAGATTATGAAGAACTCCATATCTGAGGTGAAGCATGGAACACGATGAACAGCTTGGATGCAACTAGACGATTTGGACTTCGCAGATGACCTAGCTCTTTTATCCCATACACATCAACAGATGCAGATGAAGACAGCCAGTATAGTAGCAGCCTCTGCAGCAGTGGACCTCAACATACACAAAGAAAAGCCAACATCCTCAAATATAACACACGGAACACTAACGCTAACAATTTCTAGAACTACCACAACCATCATCGAAAATGTACAATTATTCCTCAACAATTTTCCACGTCAAATACTCAATTTCCGTTGACAGGATACCATCAGCAACAACCTACTATGGGTGAGAACAAACCAACTTCCAGTCGGAGAAGAAATTAGGAACATATGTTGGAGGTGAATAGGACACGCGTTACGGACACCGTCGACGTGCATCACGAGGTGATCGCTAACTTGGAATCGTGAAGGTAAAAGGGAAGGAGGATGACCAATGCTGGTGGGCGCCCTATGCTCCTCGACGAGGGGTAACAGGTATATATATAACTCAGATCCAGGTCAACTAGAATCCAGACTATCATTTTAATGAAACTGAATAGGTCAGCAACATGGAGTTTTAACTCACATTCACATTCGTCATGATTTGAATGAATAGTTCAACTTGAATTGAGCACGTAGTTTGTAGACGGAATTAAAAATAAAATGATATTCATAAAATCTTTTCGTGATTGAAATTTGGTAAATTCATCATCTTGCTTAACATCATAGTTTAAGTGTGAAATTAAAGTTATAGAGTGTTTTACAAATATTATTTTATTTTAACGATAATCATTATTAATTATTTTTTTGGCCATCAAGTGTACTACACGGTTTTTATATCATCGTTCTGCATAAATTAGTTGATCAAGTGTTAGAAGTCTGTATAGTAATTAGATCGGATAAGAGCCTGTAATAGATAATGAAGATAGGCATGTCAGACCATAAGAAATTCCAGCCTCAGATTACATATTACAAAAAAATAGGACACCAATAGATAAAGATAATATTTCCAAATGATTTATGATGTTAACAGAGTCTATATCCTAATAGACTACTATATAGATTAAATTAATGATAAATACGACTGTATAGCTTGTGTAAATGATATCGTTAATAAAAGATTCTCTTCAATGAACAATCTTTATCCTTTCATCAACTGATAGTTTACTAACACGTACTATTCTGTACATTGTACTATGTCCGGACGAGAATAAATAAAAGGTTACCGTTAGGAGTTACGCATGAACTAATAATATACGAATATTCTTATCATATGACTATTAAGTAACTATATATATATATATATATATATATATATATATATATATATATATATATATATATATATATATATATATATATATATATATTCTTTTCATTTGACTTATTGCTTATTGTTATATGATTTACTATTCACAAGTTATTCTCAGTCTGTTAGTCACAGTTCCTCACAATCACAGCTTCTTCTGGCTTGTTCTTGTGCAAATGTTATTTTCTATTTTCTAGTGTGATTTGAAACATATGATTCGTATCGCGGAGGCTAAGATTGGCGTTCTAGACCTAACAGGTAGGGCTAGGTGGAAAAAGGACCAGTCGGAACTCTAGGCTGCCCGTACTGGTGTATGCGTCATTAGTTTGGGCGTATAAGTCATGATAAGTCGTGATAATTCTACAGCTAAGGACATGACAAAAGGAAATAAAGATTTCTGATAAAATACAACAAAGCGTTATGATAAGCGTTAATGTATGTGACAAACTGGTGATGATTTCCCTTAAAAAGGTGTACGTAAGGGTAAGTAAATCATAAGTTGAGACTTAAAGATAACACACACAGAAAATTCACTAGCTAATTAGTTATTAGAGATTCCTTTCAACTAATTATCCATTTTGGACGCAACACCTGTTGAGAAACCGTCACCAAGGTTTTTCCGCCTGTTTATCCACATTTCCTGCTAGTATTGCCTCAAACATTTCGAGAAAAATACTGTCGTACGTATATGAGTCCATAATTATGTATTTTGTCAGCAGTGTCTATGAACGTGTATAATAACAAACTTAGGATTACTAGTAAACAGAAGCATATATCAGTGAAAGTCCTTTTTAGTGTTCCAAAATAATGTTTATCAAATATTGTTCACATACATTTTAACTAAAGTTTAACAAACTTAGACTTTCAGAAACTATTGAGAAAATGTAAAAATGTTATTTTTAATATTAATCCTCAGCATATTAAAAAAACAGATGAATTTCCATCGATGATAGGTTAGAAAACTTTGATCTCCCTGTTTTAGAGCAAGCGGACTAAAAATTCCTTA